GGTAAAGGGGGTAAAAGGCACGTGAGAGCCAATCAAAATCAAGAATCTATTCGTAGATCATTCTAGAATGCGATTTCTTAATTTGGTATATTCCCAGACTGCACTTGCCAGAATTACTGCAAATGAATATCATAATTTTATGAAAGTTATGATATTTGTTCTGGATAATCTAAATATTAGCGAATTGACTCAAAATAAGTTATTAAAGATTTATAAAGATTGAAATAATATGTATATTTTAAGTCATTATGAAGAATTCACTGATAATAACTTAAAAAATTTTGAGGTATGTATATGTATATTCGCAACCATGCGAATAAATTTGAAATATTGAAATGTTTAATTAAATAATTTAAATAACAAATATTAATTTTTTATTTTATTTAGAATCTAATAATAAATTGGGCTTAACAATTTATTAAACTTTTTAAAACATATTCTGCATCAGAATTAAAGTTTTCAAAATTACATTCATGGATCTATCATACTACTGATTTAATTAAAAAATATAGTTCTTTAAATAGATTTTCTACTGAAACCTATGAAAGTCTTCATAAGATTTTGTTAAAGCACCAATAAACAAAATATTGAGGATTAAATAATGAAAATAGTAATAATTGTTTAATTTTTTAATAATATTTATAATATTTTATAAAGTTAACTATATTATTTATATTAAATAGGTTCAAAGACAGGCTATTGTATCAAAATTGTTATCAAACAAACCAAAAAATTCCAAAGCTATAAATCCTTTTAAATTTACTAATTTAATTTGGATATTTGGTTTAGATAATGTTTAGGAATTTATTGATCACAAATTAGAAAATTATAGACCAAATTCTAAAATATATTCTGGGCTTGAACATTTATTAAATTATTTAACTATATATTTAAATTTAACAAAACAAATTAATATTAATAATTATATAATTAAAATATATAGCTCAGTAACTTTAGAAAATGGGTCTATAATTCGAGCAACAGATAATTTTTATGGAAAAGCCTAGTATAGCAATGTAGCAGTTGCTATGAATTCTGAAGAACTATTTGAATATTTATCAGATCAAAGAAATTGTTATAGACAGGTATTTGTTTATTTTACTTTTTTTAAATTTTTCAAAATAAAAAATTTTAAATATTTAATTTTTAGATATATTTATTAATCAAAATTAAAATATCTGAAGAAATTGCACATAATCTCGCATTAAGGGTAGGATATTTGTTTACATGTTTTTTTCATGCAATGTGCAAATAAATATGTATGTACAACCAAATATACAATTATAATTAGTTAATTTTGCAGATCATTAAATTTTGATTAGTTTATTTTTATGCTATGCGCAAACAAATAGTAAACAAATACCTACCCTTAATACGATAGTATGATTATAAGTCTACCAAGTATCCAAATTATTTTGAATGCCCTAGACTTAAATTAACAGAATTATATAATATTATTGATATTGAAGCAATTAAAAATCTTGTTTATATAATTCTACACTTTGATAAAACTAATGAATATTTAGTAAACAAATATATATTTTAATAATTATATTTTAAATATTAAATAAAATTTAAATAGTTTCAAAATGTTAAATAAAATAATTATTAAACTTATTACAGTAATTGCAAAATTTAATAATTCTAAATATTCAAATTAATATATAAAACATTAAAATTAATTAATTTCAATATAAATCGAAATAATTTTTAAAATTACAAAATTAATAGTTAAATTTAAATTTATTCAAAATAATTTGAATTATCTTAAGATAATAAATAGTCATTTAAAACTATTAAAATTAATTTTTATTCAAAAATTGAACAAATAGTTAAATTTATTAAGCTATATTTATTTATATTCGAATTTATTCAATAAAAATAAAATTATATTAGATATATAAAGTTTATAATTTTAAGTAATATTTTGTTATTTTGTATTTTGTTCAAAAAAGAAAATTCGTTTTAAATATAATAAAAAAAATATGAAAGAAATAGAAATAAAAATAAAAAATAACAAATATATATATAATAAAATATAATGAAATTAAGAACAAGTAAAAAATTAAGAATTTAGGCTACTTCAGTATGGCTTTCTTTGTCTTGAAACGTATTAATATCATGCGGAGTATCTTGAGTTGCTGCAGGTATATATGGCATTTCTTGAGTTGATGTAATTGGAGTCAAGATTTCTGCTGGCAGATTTTCTGCAACTTGAGCACATGACCCTGATGTTTCTTCTTG